GGCCTAAGGCCGGCCCTGCTAGTTACCACCCTGCACTGTGCAGCCACTCCCCTGGGAGCACGGCCAGGAGCTGACACACGGGAAGAGTTTAACCATAAGAAAAAACAAAAACCTGATGCTTGTTGGTTAACTGTTAAAATGGTTAAACTCTTGCCTCCCTGTTACTGTAGGCTGGGACTGACACCCACAGTGCATTTTGAGCAAGCAGTGACACAATCTCTTACTCATCTGGCTTGTACCCCGAGGGTCTATGACAACAACTACCACCTTCCCATGCAGAGGGGAGATTTACAGTCACTGATTGTACAGAGTTTCAAAAGGGTCTGAAGTGGAGGGAGCTCCCAGAGAGCACAGCTTCATAGTGCCAAGGCACAGGAAATCCCTGTGTTGCCTCTTCGGTCTTTGAGCAACAAAATCGTAACATTTCCACATATTGAGTCTTCTGCACCTGCAGGCATCTGAGCATGGAATGTGCTTGGTAATATTTTGAAATTCAACTGTATCATATATGGCCTTAAACAAACAAACAAACAAAATTAATAGCATCCTTTAAAATGATACCACTGTCCTCTATCTCACATTATACTCTTCAGGTCACAGGATGATTTTCAAATCTATTTCTTGACCCAGTGCAAAATCTCTGACTCAATGTTGCTTTCTCCTGTTTATTTCTAATTTTTCTTATGTCTGTTTTTGGTCAAATTCTTTCACTGTAGCTCAATAGAAATGAACAGCTACACCAGAACTCAATTTGATCCTCATTTTAACTGCTTCTGTAGGCATCTTTGGAAGCGTGTGAACACCTATATAAGAAGCTGGAAACAAGGAAGAACCTGCCTTGATTATGGGCCAAAAAGAATGAGCAAAGGAAACAGAAGCCATTCTCATGGCTGAGAGCTGCCAGCAGTAAAGGCATACCAATGGGACAAAAGGACCTCTACTCAGCCAACATATAGGGGAGTGTAGGCAGGTATCTAGGGGTATGTCTAGCCTACATGGTTCCGTTGAAGGAGCCATGTAGATGAGTTTACTAGACATAGGAAAATGAAGCAGCGATTTAAATAATCGCCACTTCATTTACATCAAAATGGCCACCACGCTGTGCCGATCAGCTGTTTGGTGGCACAGTGGTGCAGTCTGGATGCTCCGCGGTCGACAACAGAAGCTTTTGTCGACCATTCCATTATGCCTCGTGAAATGAAGTTTACCAGAGCGTTCAACAAAGGCTTCCATTGTCGACCGCGGAGCGTCCAGACTGCCCCACTGTGCCACCAAACAGCTGATCGGCACAGCGTGGTGGCCATTTTGATGTAAATGAAGTGGCGATTATTTAAATCGCTGCTTCATTTTCCTATGTCTAGTAAACTCATCTACAAGGCTCTGTCAACAGAGCCATGTAGTCTAGACGTACCCAAGTAGCCATGTGACAGAACTGCATATCCAGGAGATCTGGGGGTCAGGCACACATGCTTCAGGTGTGGGGAAGATGAGAACCACAAAATGTAAAATATCCAAGGGAGTTGGGAGAATAGAACTATAGGATTCTAGACCATGAGCAGTGAGAAAGGAGAATGAAATGGAAAGAGAATATGTGCAGGAGAAATAAGAATGTAACAGAAGGTTCAATGAAGAGCAAAGGGGGAGAAAATGGATAAAGTCCTCACCATATTAAGGACTGTGAAAGATGCATGTAAAACCTAAAGACTCCATGCAAATAGCTGCTGTGGCTGTCTTAGATCTCCAATGGAATTGGGGGGAGGGTAATATGGACTACAAGATGTCCCATGTAAATCAAGTGTTCCAACACCATCATTTTGGTTGCCTTCATCTGTACTTTCTCCAGTGCATCCACATCCTTTCTGTAGTGGTGGGCCCAGAATTGGACACACTACTCCAGATGTGGCCTCACCAAAGCTGAATAAAGGGGAATAATCACTTTGCTACATCTGCTGGCAATGCTCCTCCTGCTGCATCTTAATATGCCATTAGCCTTCTTGGCTACAAGGGCACACCATTGACTCATATCCAGTTTCTCATCTACTGTAATCCCCACGTTTTTTTCTGCTGAACTGCTGCTTTGCCAGTTGTTCCCAAGCAGTGCTTGGGATTCTTCTGTCCCAAGTGCAGGACTTTGCACTTGTCCATGTTGAACCTCATCAGATTTTTTGGCCCAATCCTCCAATTTGTATAGGTCACTCTGGATTCTATCCCTGCCCTCTATTGTATCTATCTCTCCCCCTAGCTTCAAGTCATCTGTGAACTTGCTGAGGGTGCAATCCATCCCCTCATCCAGGTCATTAATGAAGATGTTGAACAAAACTGGTCCCAGTACTGACCCTATGTGCACTCTGCTTGATACTGACCACCAGCCAGACACTGAGCTGTTGATCACTCTCCATTAAGCCCAACAATCTAGCCAGCTTTCTATTCACCTTACAGTCCATGTTTCCTTAACTTCATGGCAAGAATATTGTGGGAGACTATATCAAAAAGTTTGTTAAAGTCAAGGTTTATCACATCCATCAACTTCCCCATGTCCACAGAGCCAGTTACCTCATCATAGAAACTAATCAGATTGCTCAGGCATGACTTGCCTTTGGTGAATCCATGTTGACTATTCCTGATCTCTTTTCTCTCTTCCAAGTGCTTCAAAATGGATTCCTTGAGTGTCTGCTCCATGATATTTTTCAGGGACTGAGATGAGGCTGACCAGTCTCTAGTTCCCTGAATTGTCCTTCCTCCCTTTTTTAAAGATGGGCACTACATTCACCTTTTTCCAATCATCTGGGATCTCCCCGGATCACCACAAGTTTTCAAAGATAATGGACAATGGCTCTACAAACACATCAGGCAACTCCCTCAGCACCCTCCTCAGATGCATTAGATCCAGCCTCATGGATTTGTCTATGTCCAGCTTCTCTGAATAGTTCTTCACCTGTTCTTTCTTCACTGAGAGCTGCCCACCTACTTCCCATACTGTGCTGCCTAGTGCAGTAATCTGGAAGCTGATCTTGTCTAAGAAGGCAAAGGCAAAAAAACCATTGAGTACTTCAGCTTTTCCCACATTATCTATCAGTATGTGGTTATTATGTTCAGCAGTAAAAGCAGTTGCAGTGTGCTTAATAAAGTGATAGTCTGCCTATGTCAATAAGAACTGATGTATATCTAGATGGGGGAGAAAGGAGGTTTAAATAACATTTTCATAAAAAATGTTGGAAACAACCTGCGCAATTCCACATGAAATGAGCATCTGAATTATTCACAACCCCAGTATGTGAAACAAATAAAGACAAAGCATTGTGTTTTCTTTTACCCTTTGTGAATAGGAGAGAACTCTGGAATGCTGTTAACTCCCAGTTAGGCCTCTTTTTAGACTAAATATTTTTGTCATCAGTTTAGTTCTTGAAAAAATATATCTCTACATTTCAGGTTAGCTGTGATTTTATCTAGCACCGCCTGACGTTTTACATCTTTTGCTTTGAAAGGAAGATGATTGTGAAATGGCCTTACTTTTTTTAAAAAAGGAACACTGGAAAAGGAAACATTGTTTATAAATGCAAATTAATGAGTCTAGCTGAAGCAAGCATCAAGTCAGTTCTAATTTCACTGCTGCCAATGGATGTCACAGCAGACTGTTTACTGTATGCTGCAGCACCATTAAAAAAAGTGCAGAGAAAATGCAACATCCTTTCATAGAGGCATAATAGATTAAGGTAGCAGTTTAATATTTATCTGTCTTGCATAATAAAAGCTAACTATTGCATCTGCAAAACATTAAGCAAAAGAACTTCAGCATAACACGCCGTGCTGAAACAGCATGGAAGCAAAACCAATTAATCTTATCTTCTTTTGGATGTTTGTGGGCAAATCCAATTTGGTGATACTTTAATGATGTGTGTGTGAAAATCTTGTGGTATGTGAGTGAAGAACAAACACACTAGAATCCATGAATATGCACCTTCCTATATGCTGAAAATGGGGCCAAAATATGTTAATACTTATCCTCTTATTCATTATCTATACCAGTCTAGTACATTTTGCATTTCTGTAGCACTTCAGGAATCACCAACCGTTTTACAAAATGTTGGTCTTGATTCAGAAAAATATCCTTATACAAAAAGGGCACTTAAGTACAACTTAATGTTGAACACTGATGTTATTGCTTTTCTGAATTGGGGAACATGCTAATTAAGCCTCACAACAATCATGCTGCAAAGGTAAGAATACTCCATGGGACAGATAATTACTTCATTTGCACAAGTATACAACTGGAGTAATCCCAGTGATATCAGTGTTATCACTGAATCCTATATTTAAAACCAGGTAAGAAAGGATCCCAATTTAGCATTGCACATAGGCATGTGCTTAAATTTAAGTTCATAATAAAATGCTTTGCTGAACAAGGTCTAATTTTGCCTTGTTGTAGTTCTTGTTACAGGTTCTTAGATGTCTGAGTCCTCAGACAGAGCAGTGAACGGAGGCTTTGATAGTGACTATAGCAATGAAATATTAATAGTCTGTAAAAAGTACCAGCCATATTATAATCTTAGTGACAAAAAAATAACAACCTCCTGTGACGGGGCGGCAGGGGCCCTGGACGCTAGCCCCGCGCCCCGCACTCAATAGTTCTTGTTACAGGTTCTTAGATGTCTGAGTCCTCAGACAGAGCAGTGAACGGAGGCTTTGATAGTGACTATAGCAATGAAATATTAATAGTCTGTAAAAAGTACCAGCCATATTATAATCTTAGTGACAAAAAAATAACAACCTCCTGTGACGGGGCGGCAGGGGCCCTGGACGCTAGCCCCGCGCCCCGCACTCAAGC